CAAAACTTGAACTCCATCTGCAGAAAGTGATGCTTTGCATTTGGTGGGACATCAAAGGAGTAATTCATTTCCATCTCCTCAATCCACAGTGAATTTTCAATGCAGAGATCTATAATCAGCAACTGGAACATTTAAATTAAGCCCTTCATCAGTAACACCCTTCACTCATTAATTGGAAAGGCATTCTTCTTCTCCACGACAATGCATGTCCACACGTGGCACGTTTGAGGTAACATAAATAAAATGTTCCCAATAGTCTTCTGATTCAGTGTCATTTTAAAATAAATACTTACATTATTATGTAAATTATTAAAGAGTATAACTTGAGTTTTTTACAGTTGTTTATATAAGAACTCATACTTTTTTGAAAATATTTTAACAAAACTGCAATTATACATTGTTATTTATCACACAGTTGGAGCAACTGATCTTATTTCACTACCAGAGCTACATAACAATGAGCATAAGCCTGAATTGCTATAGTTAGTGTTATTTAGAAATAAAATGATTTTCACAGGAATGTATACAACACATCTCATTATAGAATAAAATTTGTACCTGTGCCTGGTGCAATTCTTTCAGAGTGATAGCATGAAATTGATCTTATTAAATGGTTACTGCAGGCTATCCTATGCTTTTTTTCTGTCACCTCAGTAATGTGTCCAGCATGCTTCTTAAAGAAATTTCTAAGTTAATTCAAAAATTGTTGAAAATAATTACATTTTACATCATGCTGCAATGCAGTATTTCTCGTAATTTCCTTCTCTTGTGGTGTACACAAAAATCCTGAAATATAATACTTATATGCTTGTAGTGGATAACAAATTCCATACCACAATCAGCTGTGTGATGCAGTTTTGAACCACATCAGTTGGGCTCAGTTGGTGATGTGGCATGTTAGAAAGATGGGACTTGGTACAAACAAAACCCGAATGTTAAACGATAAGTCTTGCTGTAAAATTACAGTCTCAAAATTTCTTTCTCTATGAAAGAGTGCAAATGGATGTATAAAAAAAAATTATGCCAACCATGCAGAGATAATTATTAGTAAGGGTAGTGCACACACACAGCTGGATTGTTTAACACTGGATTAGTTCTGTATTGTTTGATTATTACTCTAATTCTGCTTAGTTATTTGGAAATATTTTCTTCAATATATTTATACAATTATTTGATCTAATTTCTGCTAACTTCACTGAGATTCCATTACGAAAGAACAATGTAGTAATTTTAATTTGTGGAATTTTGTATTAAACATAAAATATATTTACCAAGTTCAGTACTGATGTATAAACCAGCAGCTACAGTAAAGTACAGATGAATTACAGACAATAAATGTTCATTTTATATTTAACAAAACTGTGATGTACTGCTATCTGTCATACAGATTTGATATTTGTTTGATGCTTACATGTTGTCAAAATTATTGTATAAAATATTGTCCTTGATACTCTGTAACCACAGGTTAAAAACATTTTCCTAGGTAGCCACTTACAACCATCTTTAGTATTTGTAAATAAGTAAACATTTACAACCATTATTAGAATGTGTGGACAGCTAGCCCTTTACAACTTACTTTGTTATGTGTAGATAGCTGATTATTTATAACCTTCTTGGTTATATGTAGACAGCTGATATTTATAACCTTCTTGGTTATGTGTAGATAGCTGATATCTATAACCTTCTTGGTTATGTGTAGACAGCTGATATTTATAACCTTCTTGGTTATGTGTAGACAGCTGATATTTATAACCTCCTTGGTTATGTGTAGATAGCTGATATTTATAACCTCCTTGGTTATGTGTAGATAGCTGATATTTATAACCTTCTTGGTTATGTGTAGATAGCTGATATTTATAACATTCTTGGTTATGTGTAGATAGCCGATATTTATAACATTCTTGGTTATGTGTAGACAGCTGATATTTATAACATTCTTGGTTATGTGTAGACAGCTGATATTTATAACCTCCTTGGTTATGTGTAGACAGCTGATATTTATAACCTTCTTGGTTATGTGTAGACAGCTGATTATTTATAACCTTCTTGGTTATGTGTAGACAGCTGATATTTATAACCTTGGTTATGTGTAGACAGCTGAAATTTAACATTCTTGGTTATGTGTAGACAGCTGATATTTATAACCTTCTTGGTTATGTGTAGATAGCTGATATTTATAACCTTCTTGGTTATGTGTAGATAGCTGATACTTATAACCTTCTTGGTTATGTGTAGATAGCTGATTATTTATAACCTTCTTGGTTATATGTAGATAGCTGATTATTCATAACCTTCTTGGTTATATGTAGATAGCTGATTATTTGTAACCTTCTTGGCTATGCATGAATAGCTGGTCATTTGCAACCATCTTTAGAATGTGTGAACAGCATACCCTTTACAACCATCTTCAGAATGTGTGAATAGTTGATGTTTTAAAACTATCTTTATAATGTATAGACATGTTCAATAACTGCATCAATGATGATGATAATTAAACTATATATAAAAGTAAAATGTTAGCAAAACTTCCATTATATTAGTACATACAAGGTATCTTTATGTCTGAAATTTTAACCATAAAATTATTGATGGGATTCATGTGGACTCCATTTTGTTTTTGCACTATTACCACTATGAAAATAAGTGATTTCACCCAGTTTTTGGTCAGTCAATAACACAAAACTATACAATACAACTTATGTACCATACCAATAGTGTACAGTGTAAACATAAGACAATAATTTGAGGATGAACACTAAACGTTCGAGCCAAAAGTAATGATTTTTTCTTCAGTTTTTATCAAAATATGTATTTCCAACAATTAAATCAAAGAGCTATCAGACATTATAAAACAAATATTTTATGGAATTTGTTTGCTAAGTATAAAGTAATATGACATTTATCAACAAAATCCTAAGACAAATCTGAAATGCTAGATTTACCTCTCTCACATCAAAGGTTCGTTTAAGATTGTCTCCCACAAAACCATACAAATCATCAGCAGGGTAGATTGGATCTTCAGGTTCTGTGAATGTTACCTGTACACAGATCAGGTAACACACTGTAACTAATAATTCAAATGTGTAGTTGAGCAAAATTAATATTATAATTCAAAAGGTAAAAAAACAAAAACAGAGATATTTTTAAGGAATTCTCAGGGTAAGTAATTTTTGTATATTCCAACAAAACAAATGATACACTGAAAGTATTGCTTTTGACTAGTTTCTCCACTTTAGGAATGATTCAGCAACAAACATATTTACTAATTCAATATAACAATATTTTGAATATCTTTAATTTTTCTAGTTGATCATTCAGTTTGATTCAACATGTAAACATCGTGCCTCATGTTTGGTACATAGCCCAAAGAGTCAATACAGTCCAATCGCTAACCTAGAGGTTTAGTAAACCTCTTTTGTCAACCCCTCCAACCCAGGTACCATTCTAGTAGCCCTCTTCTGAACCCAATCCAACAATTCAATGTCCTTCCTAAGGAAAGAAGCCCAAGACTGAACACAATACTCCAAATGAGGCCTAACCAATGACCTACAAAATGAAATGATAACCTCTTTTAGACTTGAAATTCAATATTTCTGCAGATACAACCTAAAATCTATTTGCCCTACCACACGCAACAGCACACTGCTTGGGTAGCTTAAAAGACTGATTAACTATTACACAAAGATCCCTTTCTTTCATGATACTGTTAAGGTTATTCCCATAAAATTATACTTATAATTCAAATTTTGATAACTCACATATATTATCTTGCATTTATTATAATTAAAGCCCACATGCCATTTACTTGCTCAACTCACTAAATGATCTAATTTTTTTTTTAAATTCAGCAGCATCCTCTTTACAGCTAGCAACACTCAAGACTTTAATATCATCTGCAAATTTAAGTAATTTATTGACTATTCCTTCATCTATGTCATTGTTGTAAGTGAAAAAAGATTTAAAGTCCTGAGGTACCCTAATTATGACATTAATCCAGTTTGATGGAACACCATTTATAACAACCCTCTACTTTCTTCTATCCAATTCTATCCTAACAATTTTTATCAACTCCCTTGAAAAGAGATACATTAGCCAACTTCCATACCTCTGGCACCTGCCCACTATTCAAGGACTTACAAAAAATAGTAGCAAACAGCTCACATATTCAATCCTTAACCTTCTTCAAAACCCTTCATATAACTATGTAACTGTCAATTTTAGAATAACTACACCTATAAATCTTATGCTCAGTGCAATTCATACAAAAAAACCATTCAGTGATTTAACTGAATGCAGGACTTAAAAATTGAAAAATCAATAGTTAACTATCGAGTTTGTTACAGGTTTAAGTATAACTTGAAGGTTCATCAAAATGAAATTTTTGTTATGAAATTTAACTCACATTAGGTTTTTTCATTTTGTTCCAGTTTGCTGCTATCCTACGGGCAAGATGCAAGGCATGAAGATCATCTTGTGCATAATAATCTGTCACACCAGAACGCCTGTAAAACCCCCATAAATAACTACAGCCACTGATATATTTAGAATATTTTTATTCATAGGTATATATATTCATCATTGTACACAACCAATAAAGAAATAAAAAGCTTTGTTGCTAATTGGTTTAGTTTGTTATAAATTTCACGCAAAGCAACACAAGGGCTAGCTGTCACTAATTTAGCAGTGAAAGACTAGAGGGAAGGCAGCTAGTCATCACCACCCACTACCAACTCTTACTGTTTTTTTACCAATGAATAGTGGGATTGACCATCACATTACAATGCCCCTATGGCTGAAAGGGCAAGCATGTTGGGTGGGACAAAGAAATTCAAACCTGCGATTGTGGCTAATTTAATGAGAATCAGTATTTAAAATATCTGAAAAGATTCTTGTGGAGAATTCAATGCATAAAATCATAATTTTTCCTAATCTTTATTGATAGATATTTTAAGCTGATTATTAACATGCTGATGCAAAAATAAAAGGAATCTTAACCATGAACTGTAATCTTGGTTAAATAAATTCTAGAAAAGCTGCAAAAAAACAAATAATTTCATTTCTAATTATTATATTTAACATTATTTCAGAAACTTAATTGTGTGTATTACAGTTAGAAAATAATAATAAATATATCATTTAAGTTTCATAAAAACAGAGTAATTTTAAAAGATCACCTGCAATGCAAGTCTGCTCCTCCCAGCTCTTCTGCTGAAATGTCTTCTCCTGTGGCTGCTTTTACCTTATTATTTTATAATATACACATTTTATTCTTGTTGCAAAAAAAACGTTTACTCAGTTCACTATTACACTCAACTTGTCTTGAAATAGTGGTGACAATACGCAGAATGCAAAGCCTAGGGCACCAAAATTACAGATGCTCTTATATAAAGTACAATATTATCTAATATTTGTTACTAGACATGATGAGATCATCTTACTGTAAAGATGATCCATTATGTATGTATTAGCATCCATCATCTTGAGTTAGCTGGCTAAATTACTGCATTTTCTGTATGATAACCAGAAATTGTCTGATGGTATAAATGGGCTAATTTGTTTGAGGATTTTTGCCTGAGAAGGGAAATAAAAAATGACCTGAAATAGTGCACATTTCCATTTTACTTATAGGCTCTTAACTTTGAATTTAAAGACACAATTACTTAACCAGTTAAATGAGTTAATTATTACTTTCCACAAAGCAGAGTATGCAATTAGCATCTAATGAGGTTGTTTTGAAATTTAACAACAAAAGAAAAGAGGAAGGGGAATAATACCTAACATTGTTCTGTATACAATATTTGCTTTCTTAATACATACCCCAGCTAGTATATATGAAATTAGTCCTCCTGTTGCAATGATTTTTGAAATTTTTTTATGCGAGAAACACATTCACAGAACATTCAATGAGTATACATTTGTTATGTAACTAAACTCTATTATACTCACATGGTAGTTGGCATTTACTTTAACTAATAATATCATTGTTGGAACACCTATAAACAGGTTTACATCAAGTTTATTTTTATTTATTTATTTGCAAGTTTTTATTCCCAAACCTAAGTTTGTCATCAGACCAACCAAACAATATGTAGAATGTAAATACAAAAAAGTGTTACATGTAAGAACACAAGTTTGTATATATCATGAGATGTCAGCTATCACACACAAATGTAAACAATTAGTTAATGGTGGTTCACAAATACAAAAAGGGTTATACCATGGTGTAAAAATCCATTTATAGGTTTTCCTATATTTAAAGGATGGCATCTGATAATAAAATTATATTATTATTATTATTACTGACTGGAGAGAGAATAAAACACCATTCAAACTGTTGGTTGCAAAACTATCCTGAAGCAACTGCCAACCAACTACTTAACCTTTTTTTCAGATGAATTTAACATTCAGGTTTCTACAATCCAGTGATATAAAAACATATAAGCCTACATTACAAAGTACAAGTCATTTTCTTCTAATGTGACTTTTACATTTTGCTATCACAACTAGTACAGAATGAAAGAAATCAAAACATGTGTTGCTTTCAACTGTTTGTTAGTATGTTTATTTCCAAATATTTTCTGTATTAAAAGAAAAGAATGAGAGGTTGCCATTGTTTTTTATAATTCAATAACAATAATCTTAACAAAAATTCATAAAAGAAGCAAAAACTAACCTAAATCTCCTATGCTGGCCAAACCTTGTGGTATTATTGGATTTATGGCAGAAAATACTTTTTGTTTGTTATCGAACACAAAGCTAAAACCAATGTATATGTTATAAACCATCAGGTTTACCATTGAGTCACTGGGTGTCTAAAATATCATTAACAGTGAGGGTATCCAATTGATGAAAGAATACAATTTAACCTTCATAAGTAAGTGAGAAAAGTGTATGTAAGCAGTTATACTCATTACCAGCTATAAGTAGGTAGCTTGCTCTGATTAGAAGTTGATAATAATACTCAAAATACTTTTTCTTAGTTATAAGCTTAATTTTTTAATTTGGCAATTTTTTTCAAATACTCTGTATTCATTATTTTTTTGTATTCATGTAATATATAGTATAAACCTCACAAATGGTCAATTTAGACTTCAACAGAGAACATATTAGCTCAACAATAAAAACCTTTAATATTAAAGCCTCTCACTAAAATGATTTTTTTTTTCATTTACTAAGTATAGCCAAGTAAAAAAAGAAGAAGGTTATTTTAACTCACCAAAGGTGGTCCTCCCAAGAAAATTGTCCCTTGACGTCGTACAATGATACTATCATCTGCCATTGCTGGTACATAGGCACCACCAGCAGTACAACTACCTAAAACTACTGCAAGCTATAAAAAATTAAATAATTTAAAGAAAAAGGAATAATAAGAATGGAAATAGGAAAAACACACATACACATCATATGTTAAAGAAATCTATTTAACTTTATGCATACGGCTGGGTCAAAGTGAGCATTTAACAACCTTTTACAATGTTACATTCACATCTTAATTATCGATGTATGTCAGTAAAATTTGCATTAAAGCATAGTTCATATAATCTAAGTTTTAATGTCTTACTTTCAAAGAAAATATTTAAAAAATTCTTAATTTTCATACCATGTGTCCAATCTGTACTCCGAATTATTTCCTTTAGATTTTATATCTTGAATAATACTACTGCCAAAGTGTCCAGTGAATTAAAAACAAAAAATATACATAATTACAAGCAATGATATAAAATTTAAAACTTCTACCTTCCCGATTTGTTGAGATATTAATAATCTGTCTTGCAAAACATTGTATATTTTTCTGTACATAAAGCTTACTGCAATTGTTTCTTTTTGGTGAGACATATGCAAATAGATGGCCTTACATTTTTTTGTCTTTCATTGTTGTTTATCAACTCTGAACAGCTACATAATTTTTTAAACCTATTTATAGCTTAGAAAGATAGATATATTATAGTAGGTTTGGACGTTTTATTCTAGTGACTGATATTTTTTATGTTCTAAAATTACTTTTTTCGACAACCAGATTAGCAAGAATAAATTGGGATTAAGCATAGATCTGCATCCAAGAGCAAAAGGCCTGGAACTTGAAGTAAGTGCTAAATTTCTTGTTTTTATGTACATCTTTTATTTATTGTTTTATATATATATTTTAACAAAAGTAACTAAAATGAAAATAAAAAAAGAGAAAACTTCTTAAGTTAGGTAAAAAAAATAATTTAAAATTTCCATGAAATAGGAATGCAATCTCAATTTAGCTCATGAGCATAACTTGAGTGATTTCTTTACTTTATGTATGGGTGGGAAATAGATATGGGCTTCTGCTGTGATTCATTACTTTTCATGGAGTGGTAAACTGCTATCACAGAATAAAACCTGGCAATGACAATAAAATTAAAAGAAAACAGATGTGAAAAGGTAAACAGTTGAAATTATGAAGATAAGTAATTTGAAACTCTCAAGTCAATTATGTATTCATAGAATAAACATTTTTATTCATTTTATTTCATTTTTTTCCAACTTTTCATTTCACTGTACACTAAAGATAAAGGATAAAGAAAACAAGAGATTAAGTTTTACAACAAACAAACTAAAATTACACAAATGAAATATGAAAACTGTATGATGAAAATAAGTATTTTATTCTTAACATAAATACCACTTTTCATTCACACAGACTCAGTAAATGCTTTGTAAATTCACAGTCAAATCTTTAGTAAAAGTTCTTTATTAAAAAATTGCAAAATTCTTTGTTATAATAAACTTCGTACATTCAGAGTTATAGCACGTATATTTTCACTGTTATATGGTGGTTACAAGGTCAGTGAAATCAACCGAGCCCATATACAGATGGCTAACAAGTTCTAAGAAACAATGATCTTACTACATCAGGGCACAGAGACTAAAAGTTGTCGAATATCTACCTGAAAATGTTACCAATTTGTGGTATTAAAACTTTGAAACTGACAGTAAGTATCATGTCAATGTATGATATTAAAAATAAGCAGAAATACATCACTCCAGCCCTCACTTAATACAAGTTTCGTGGTCTTCAGGTTATATATATATATATATATATATATATATACATTCTTTTATCTCTAATCACATACAGATAACATGGAAGAATTTCTTGCTAGAAGAAGAGCATTTTACCACAATAAATATATAAATCTGACTCATTTTTAACAAATATGTTTTATGTTCACTTATTTCATTTTTAGTATTAACCTAGCTATTACTACTACTACTACAACTATTACTACACCCACCTTGTTTGTAGATATTTTTTTACACTATCATCTATTGAGTTTTACTGGTTATAGGTTTAGTAACTTTTAAAACAATTAGGGAATTCAACACACTATACTTAACTTTAAGAAACACTTCTACATGTAATACACAACTAATTCTTAGTTTGCACGAACTACTTGAGACTTGAAATGAAACCAAGTATATATTTTTGAAGAGTGAAACATGGGTTTAAAGTTTAAAAAATGGGTGGTTTGTGTATGTTAACAGAATTTTTTGTATTTAATATTAACTCTTAATACAAAATGAAAAAGGTAAGAAATAAACTTTAAGTTGTTTAATAATTTTTGGAACCACTTAAGCAACTTTTTATAATACTATTTTATTATTTTGTTTGAATAATATACAATTTTAATAATATTTTATGGTACGAGAATTACTAAAACTTTAGAAACTTGTAAACCCTAGTTAGATATGAAAGAAACTGTAAACCTTTATTGTTCACAAGAAATTAATCTGATTGCTAAACCAACAGCAGTATTTTAAGAAAAAGATATTTCCATCTCTAATATCCTTTTATACAAAAGAATACAAAATAACACCATTAACAGAGCATAAATAGTAAATACTTCAGAGGAACATTCATCAATGAAGAATTAAGGGATGTTTATTAAAAATGTAGTGAGAAAAAATAAGGTTAAGTGAAATCTTACCTGTGGAATTCCCATAGAAGATAGAACTGCTTGATTATAAAAGATTCGTCCAAAATGACCAACATCAGGAAATACTTCTGCCTGATGGGGCAAATTTGCTCCACCAGAATCAACTGAAACAAAAATAAAGACTTTTTTAGCACATATGTTATTGTGTTGTTAATCATTTTTACATATTTCTTAAATGCCCTTACCAAAAATGTTAAATACACAAAATTAATTATGAAAAACAGACTGCAGTTTAGGCTTGTTAACATAAACATACAAATAAAATACTGATTAGAAACAACAAAATAGAAATTAGTTTGTCAAATATTTCTATCAATGGCACTTTACTGAAAAATATAAAAATACACACACACACACATATATTTTTTGTATGAGTACATAAGTTTGTTTTTTCATATTTCTTTAATGAACTTTTGATAGGTAAACATTTCAATCATGGATTGATAGCTGAGGAAAGAACAGAAACAGTGCCTCTAAAGTCTTTAACATACATTAGGATTTTTTGTAAGCTATCATATAAATATATGATAGCATGTGATGTGATGAAATATAAACACTAAAACTGGGTAACAACTCTTTTTTTGTTGATTGGTCCAGCTTTAATCCAGAACCACTCACTGGGAACTGACATCCAGGTGATGGTAGGATGAGGGATCCCAATCAAAAGGATGAACAGCAATGTGACGGATCTATTCTAAAGCAACTTCATCTTCTGGATAGGACTGCACAAAGGCTGGAGTGCAATAGCAACCTCCGGGTCCCACTGCATGGAAGTGGATTGCATCCATAAAATATAAGCAACCTCACTGTCCGGATAGAACTGCACAGAAGCTATGTGCAACATCAAGCTACAGGACCCACTGCATGGAGGTGGAGTGCATGATTGGAGGATTACACGTCATCAACGTCAGCAGAACACCACCACCCTACTCACTACTAAATGGAAGCAAACACATTCAGGAGGACTAATTTTTGATGACAATAATCTTGATTGAATCAAATGTATATTTACTAAATATAGCTCCTTTTCAATAAATAAGTTCTTGAATTTAAGTGCATTGTTCATATATGGTAAACTTAAAAACAACATTCAATAAATAAAGATACGAGTCCTTGAAAAATTTTGCTATCAACTTCAGTACTAACTAAACCTAACTAAGCTTAACATGAAAACATTCAGGAATAAATAGAACATCTAAAGAAACTATAAAAAATTGCAGATCTGTGATTTGTTACCAAGTCTTCTAAACTTCCCATTAGATTCTGTATTTTCTGCAGTAGTTCTGTTTTGTCACATCCTACATAACCATAAATTACATCTCATTACACTTTATTCACTCTATACTGATCTAAATAGTTTAAAATCTGTTCTGTCCAATGGTATTTACACTACATCTATAGCTATTTTGAATGCTGAGCTTCATTATTTATGCTGTGAGATCATAAAAGGTCGAGAATGAGCAGCTCTACCAATAGAATCAGTGAAAGAGAAGAAAAATCATATGAGAATTTTGTTTGTTCTTAAGGGCAAAGCTACATAATGGGCTATCTGTGCTCTGTCCACCTTGGGTATCAAAACCCAATTTTTAGCATTAGAAACAAAACATGGATACTTATATTTGCAAGGAATGATAGTTTCTTCATAAATATAAACCTGTGCTAAGAGATAGGTAGAAAATTCTAAAAAAATAATTAAGAGTGTCATCTATAGTCAATATTTCTGAAAGTTGTACAGAAATTCAAGTTTGAACATTTTTTAATTTTTCTTTGTAAATTCAGTATATAAATGTTACAATATGACAAAATGTAAATTCTAATACATATCAATTCTGAAATATTTTTGAGCTAAAACTGTTGAAATACAGTCACAATCATTATATTTACTTAAAATCTGAAATATGATATGCAGGTGTGCAGTCGACACATAAAATGTGCTCACTGGTTGTAATAGGATTAAAAACTTTTTATAAGCTCATAATTTGACAAATTTTCAGTACTGACCTAGATATATACACGGCAAGTTGTTTTGTCTGGCTATTTCTTGAGCACGAATATGTTTCTTCACAGTTATAGGATAATAAGTTCCCGCTTTCACAGTTGGATCATTTGCTACAATGATGCACTCAACTCTGTGTAATCAGAACAAAGATATACTTCATATAAAAGGTAAAAGCTTTTCACTAATAAGAATAGTGGTTCTGCTAATAAAGCTGAATAGCTAAAAACTGAAATGTCAATCTTATTGATATTTTGAGATTTTTACTCTAATTTCTATTGTATATAGAATTACATTTCTTAGTTTTACTTCAATAGAAGCTTATGATCGTGCTAGCTGGTCAGGAGTACTTTTATTTCAAGTATAAATTCTTAAGTAGAGATGAGTACACAATATCATGTACATTAATAACAGTTAGGCAAACAATCATTTATAAGCATAAGGAAGAGTTTTATTGATGGTGGAATATACTACAAATTTGAAAAAAAAATTGGTCTGTCTTATTCACATTTTCTTACCCACAAACTCGTCCAATGCCAGTAATTATTCCTGCAGAAGGAACTTCATCACCATACATATCCCAAGCAGCCAGCTGGGACAGTTCTAAAAAGGGAGATCTAAAATCCCATCCAAAACTAATTTTTCAATCAGTTATTAATAACACATATAACTACTACACATCAATGCACAAGTTGAAGTTTAAATTTAACAAAATTCATAAAAAAAACAGCTAATAATGATTTACTTTTTATTGCACAACTATCTTCATAAACAACTCTTTTCAATATACCACTTATGAAATTCAGTTTAAAAAAAAGCATTTCATATAGTCATCTACTAGGCACTGATCTTTAAGCCAGTAGTCTCCCTTTTGTATTATAAATGTTTGTCAAACTAGAATTTGCTTTACTAAGAATCTAATGTATCCTTTCTAAAATCTTTTAGATTTCAGTCTTCAGTAAACAATTCCTTTACACCTTTTTACAATATTACAGTGTCGGTTCATTTGTTTCATCAATTCAAATATTCTACTTCATTTTCCACAGCTTTAGTTATTCACCTAATTAATAATTAATTTAGAACACACAATCACTTCTCAAACATATTTTGATCAACAGGACTATCAATGATAATTACAAGTCTTTTATGTTAGGCTGTCATTTTTATGTGCAAAATGCTGTGCTTCAAAAAAAAATTAAGATCAGAAGCCTTTAAGAAAATACAATGTTAATTTTGCAATCAACTCTTTATTCCACTGGGTTACAGATGAAGTGGTTATCCTCAGTTTTTTTTCAAGTCTTATCAATCCCAAATTAGTCCTTTATTAAAAATTAATCTGCCAAACTTTTCTTTAAGTTTTGAATTCTCTTTTAAGCCATAGGCTGAAAATGATCTACAATTAAGTTTTATTAGTTTAAGTAGTAGTATAACAGGTATAACTACTGATTTTATGAGAAAAAAAATCACCTTAAAAGCTATGGTAATAATTTATCAACTAGGCAACATTTCAAACAAACACTCTTTTTGAAGCCAGAAACAAGCTTGTTGGTTAATGACAATTACAGGAACATTTTGAAATGTTTTTTCTCGAAAAGTCTAATTTATTTTATTACCTTCGAATTTTTCTACTTATTCATTTAATGATTTTATAATACCTTTTACCTATCAACTTTAAGAGATAATTGTCATCATTATAAAGTATATTTTTTACTTTCTGCAAACCTACACACAAACTTGTCATCTTAGTTTCAAAATTTCACGGAGCATGCTACTGGTTATGTTTTCATGCCTCAGGATCTGCTTTGTGCTTTCTAGTTTATCTCAGAAAAATACATAACCCTACTTTTGTTATGCAGGCTTAATTGAAAAGACCCTTTTAAATCTGTTTTCATAATACAAGTCTTGTTATGTACTTCATCTGAAGCTTCCTTGATCATTAATAGCTAACAAAGACAAATTTCTTTAAAAAAAAAACTACTAAAAAGCTGTTTCAACACATCTTCTTCATCCAAAATTCAGCTGTTTTTATAGATTCCTCTTAATGCATGAATGATTAATACAATTTTTAGGTCAATTGGCTTTAATAATTTGTGAACTATTAGCAGTGGGTTACATTAGAATATGTTGATCTAGGCATTTGAGGCCTAAATGCACTGAAATATTTTATTGACGTTTGTGAAATAGTTAAAATAAAAACTGTTAACTGTAAGTAAAATAAGCTTTGATATTCAAAACTATTAAAAAAAAAGAAGACAGTAGATTTATAGATACAAGTCAGTCCTTCAAGTTTGGCAGGTATCATCACACTGACTGTCAAAAGCACCCATAAAATAAGTTCCGCAAGGGCTTGTTAGAGCTTCTGTTAAATCTGTAATGATGTTCGCTGTCTTGGGTCCACTACTGGTTCTTCTATTCTTACCAGGAAATTCAGAGCTCATTGTCATTTTGTCATGGATTAGCCAGGCAATCAACTATTTGTATACACAGACAAGCTCACAAATAACTTTGTGTGACCCTGTTGACTGCTATGACATTTATACTTTAATTCTAACTGACATAGACTAGCGATATTACATGCACAGAAATACATTTTCAAACTATATTGTTATATAAAGACATCAAATATTTGTAACTGAGAAATTAAGTCAATGCTTTAAAATACAAAACTGGATATTAATTATTAGGAAATTCAGGCCAGCAAGAAGAGTTTTAGTAAATTTGATCATGACCTTAATTGCAATTGATGAACTACTTTCTGTATAACATGAGGGCTACCATATTGTTGGAGGTTGTCATAGTTCAGTGGTATGCTGTGTGCGTGTCTCAGCTTAGCCAGTAAAACTCTACTCAGTAAAACAGTACAATTTAGTCAATACAAATTAACTTTTAGTGTCCAATTTTGTTAACAAAGAATCGAGATGTGGCATCAGCCTGCTAACAGCCCCTATTGACTGTTTGTTGATGGCTGTTTACAGCCCACATGCATTTATTTTTCAAATGTAAAGGACTTATAAATATGATATATACATATCTATTAACATTTAATACACAAAATAAAATGATATAGTTATTTAATTTCAAGAGAAGAATAATGTTGTTGCTAGTAGCGGTTCTAAATTTGCTAGTATGAAAATAAACCTAGGAATCATTTGCTAGTGCCCTCAAAAGTTCAGGTTGAGATCTGTAAAAGGTGGTAAATTTTAAGTACATAAAGATTCTAGGTTTTTCCAAAAGCATATTAGAATGAACTCTAAAAAAAAGGTTAAGTTATAATTAATTCACTTTGATAAGTAGTTTTATTTGCTAAACATGTCACAATCTATCCTCAGCTGCTCAAATAACACAATTCTGAATTGGAAATGAACATTGCCATATATAATAAATTTATTTGAAAAAAGAAGTAAAATCTCGGATAGATTATACAAATAGCCCAGCATTCTGTCGATAATAACAAATTAAGTCATTGAACTAGTTATAAAACAAATGCCATACACTGTAGAGAACTGTTAAGTCAGAGTGAAAGAATGCTTGTTTATAAATTTCTAAGGTTTGACAAATTGTGTAACAAACAAGTATTATAATGTTTACCTCTCATGATACCACATATTTTATACCTATCATTCATTTATTGAAGTTCACAACCATCTAAAGTCACATATTTTTGGATAAAAAAAAAAAACGAGAACAGTAGTAAACATACCCAGGGTCTATAAGATTATTGATCCTGTCCCTGACTAACATTTTACCTCGAGAAAGTTGCAACTGTTTTGCTTTTTCACCTCCTCCTATTGAACAAACAGAACAAAAAAAGAAGCTAGATATCAGTAGTTTTAACTAGATTTGTGTTTGGAATTTCAATTTATACTCATGTCCACACATTCTGCTAAAAACAGCATTTTGCATCTTAAAATTCTGTTGACTCACCAGTGGCAACACAAACATAGTAAAACTTAAGTGTTTCAAAATATTTATACTTGTTGAATTAGGCATAAGGAAAATAAAAGATTTCCTTGATATAAGCAATAGTACAAATGACAAGAATTGTACAATAAGTTAATTGGTAACATTTTGTTCATTTAGTCTAATAAAGGACTTAAAAAAAAAGTTAAAAGAAAAACAGAAATAAAAAATTTGTAAATAAAAGTTATTCTCATACTGTTTATCAAGAAGAAAATATGTAACTTTAAATATTTATTCTGCAATAAATGTTTCTGTGGAAAAAGTGACTTAGATCATCAAATGGAAAAGCCAAAATTTTTAATTATTTGCCCTTAATAATTTACATGTCTATTTAGTGATAAACAAAAGTGTGATGCACAATATAATTTATGTATATCTATACCTTCTATAACCTTCTGGATATTTGTTTTCAACTGGTCAACCAAATTTTTCATTGCAGCATAATTTTCCTTAAAAAAAAACAAAAAACAAAATTGAAGAATTACAATGTAAAGACATATTTATAGTTACTTCAACATACTCAAAACATTTATGATATTTCATATTCTGAATAAGCAGATAACTAGTATAAAAAGAGCTTTATAAACCTATTCAGTTACTTATACCAAACAGTTGTTTGGTTAAAATTACATAAACATGATAGTTCTCAAAAATATTCAATATATATTACTACTTTAAACAATAATTGCAATCATAATTTCACCATGGAAAGTGTCTGATAATCAATACACTATACATTCAAGGTGAAGCATTCTATAAATTAGCACCCTTGCTTTTGCATACTTAATCTCTTATTACAGCTGAAATATAGAAAAGTTAAACACTTTTTTACTGATGGTGTTGCTACAAGGAGAGAGAACTTATAATTTGATCCAAGTTTTATTTTTAAATGAAATTGTAATAATTCAACAACTATAAACTGGCAAGTATTTTTCATAATGATTTTGAAAACAATAAAGAATGTGAATAAGCGTTTTAAATATTAACTTCTCTAAAATATTGTTAATGTGAAATCTATTATGTGCTGGAGTTGCAAGTCTTTGAGAATCTAACATTATTTCAATAATGTCACTTCAGAACAAACTGGAAAACCCCACCATCTCTATGAGTATAAATTACCTTATTGTAAAAATAACAGTAGCACCTACCCGCTAAGAGTTTGCACCTTCTTTCATACATTTATAATTTAAATTGCAATGTACAAGTGTCATCTAACTTTTCACATGTAAATCTTTCAGACTACAGTTTAAGGCTTGTGTTGTGTGAAGTACTTGGTATATAATTTTCAGCATTACTGTTTGTACCTACTTTTTGTAATTTTACTAGTTCTTTCCTTGAATTCAAATATGAATTACAAGAACACCTGCAACATGTAGAATCTTCCTCCACTTTGACATAATATACAAGAGCAGGTTAGTCAAATGACTTTCCACATTCATCCACCTTCTAACATCTACAGTGTAACAGGAATACAACATGATTGTGATCATACCACAGAAAAACAATTTATAAAAGTGTCTGACCTTTGAAAAAGTATAATGTATTAAAAATATGAGTACAAGAAGCTTGAGAATGTAATAAAAATTATACAGTGAAGACACACCACTCCAAAGCATGCTTGATACCATCACCATATATATATATGCCTTAATAGAACTGTCAAAGCTTAAGAAAAAAAAATCACATGAAACAGTGAGCATGCTGTAACAATTTTAAAGTGAAAAACTCTGCCTTAAACAGGCTCTTATCTCACATTAGTGCTTTGAGTGACACTACCAACTGATTTTTTAAGGCTTCGAGCCCATATATACAACTTTCCACCAAGTTCAGTATACTAGTAACAAAAAATATTATTCTAAATTTGTTGCAATGGAATAAAATCAGAAACTAGAGAGCATTTTGGATAGGAGAGAAATCTGCATTACCCATTCCTGCATTCACCACTCATATGCTACACTCACAGGGTGGATGCATATATACGTTAGGTGGTGGAATGCACAAATGGGTAACATAGATTTTCCTCCCATCCCAAATGTTCCCTAGTTTCTGATCTTTTTTGCATTCCTACATCCCAACAATTTTTGAATAAAATTATTTGTTACTAGTTTCTGCACTTTTTACGAGTCGAGGTTGTGGCTTAACTTCTAGGTAGAAGGCACCATTTTACCAAAATTTTCAATTCTATTCTATAGGGAGCCATAATATAATCTGTACACATTAGTTCTTGAAGCAGGATAAGTCATAACTAAGATACTGCACAGTGTAGTAAGGAGTATAAGGTAGATTATCTACTTCCATATAATGCACATAATGACTTATTGATCAGAAACCGTGATTAGTACTTTGGGCTGTAACTAGCCTATCGTGGATCACTTGCTCCTCTAGGTATAAAAAGGCACTTCCTAGGGACTAGTGAAGTGTTGTGTACAGACTGGTCGTATGCACACAGTGTTTTAGAAGTTGCAGCAGACTGAGAAGAAGAAAATGTTTTGTAGCCTGTTTTCTAGATGTCAAGGAAGGTTAGCCAAATTTTGGATGCAGTTCTGTACTTGTTTAGTGAAGGGCTTTTTGTCTCTATCTCGCTGACTGGGTTTTGCCGACATCCTGGTGTACATGCTACTACATGTAATGTACAGACTGCCATCTTTAATCAGACCCATCCCTACATTGGGATCGCTACCATGCTCCCCGATATTATCTCACTAATTCCAAGTGATATCCTTATCCCAACCAACTCTATTCAACTGAGTGGCTCGATTTACTCCAAAGCAATTAAAGATGTAAAAACAACACCTATAAATTGTATATCATGTACTTAAGTAATCACATCTCATATTCAACAGAACTTGTACTTCTTATAACAGTTCAATCTTACACATTTTTACTAGGTTTATGTTTTTAATTTTCAGTGGATCTGAAGCTACACAGAAGACTTAATTTTGTGCCTGTAGTTCAGGTTACCCTTGCAACAATCTGAAATAAGTAAATGCAATCTTCTTTCACTGGAACTGAAGTTTTTTCAGAAGTTTGAGAAATAATCATATACTCTTTTCCATAACATTGCAGAGTTTATATGTGACGAAAAGGATCTTAGTGATTCAGTTGATTAGTCTCTTAAGCTTTACAGGCAGTGAGTTGTTACCAGTGGGAAAGCAAATAGGATTTTAGGTTGTATATCTAAAGGACATTGAATACAAGTCAAAAGAATATATTATTTCTTTGTACAGATTTCTGGTTAAGCTACATCTATATTAATGTGTTCAGTGTTAATGTGTAATAAGGAACCCAAGATGTTAGAAAGGATTCAAAAAGAGGGATACTAGGATGATTCCTCAGATGGAGAGGCTATCATATTAAGACAGATTAAGGTTCCTAAAACTATTTTCTCATGGAAAAAGAAGGATCAGATGGGATCTGATTGAAGTGTTCATAATTATAAAGAAAAAACTTAATTGATGCATCGCCGTTTTTCATGTTTAATGATATGAGTGGTAGGACTAAGAGACATAGATTTAAGATTTGGCAGGGTAGAAATTGTCTGCAAATTAGAGAAGTTTATTTTTGAACAGGTTGGTTAGCCTTTAGAATAGATTGCCATCAGATATGAAATGTAGTAGGTGCAACAAGATTGAGAAAATTCAACTGTTTCATGACTACTTAAGCAGTGAGGGTTAGATATAGGCAGACAAGTGTTTTATAAAATGAATGGGATAGCAATGATGGGCCAAGGTACCCCTTATTGTCCTTCTAATGTTACATTATGAAGATAATAAGACACAAGGATGTATTTAGAAAAAAACAGGCTAACCTTCAGTTAAAACAATTATATATGTCTAATAAGTTGATTAGTTTTGAATGAGTTTAAAAAAAAAACAGATGATTTCCTGGAAATTGAAGGGTGGGATTAATCATTTCTTATCTTTGGGAGTTTGTAGGTACAGCCTTGAACTTGAAGGATAGTGTCTTTTGTTTGCTTGATAAATTTGTTTGTTTGTTCTTCTGTTTTAGAGCAAAGCCCCATTAGGCTACCTGCTGCATCCACTGCAGGGAATCCAACCCTGGATTTTAGTGCCATAAGTGCATAAACATACCATAGTCCCACCAATGGGCTGTTTGTAAATAACGAAAAACAAAAAAATGCACCAAATTGGGGAAAATATCAATACTTCTAAACTTTAATTAAGAAGAACCATATGACTGATCATATATTCATCATAAGAAACCATACTAATAGTAATACTACTACTACTGTTTTTCTAGTCGACTTCAAAGTAAGTTCCATGCCATAGCTACTGGCAGCGGCAGTACTGCTACTGCTAGCGTACAGAAGAACATAGTTACCACTCATGGAATTCAATAATTTTAACTGGATTGCGTTCACTTCATCTAATAATAATATAAATTCACTTCTCATTCATGATAATTTCTTTTTTTATTCAAATGCAATGCTATTACTAGTAACAGTAGCACTACTAGTATTAGTATTGTTGCGTCATCGAGTCACATGACTACTGTGACGCAACGTTTCTAGAACTATCGTGTACTTTGGCGAATGTTCTAGTTCTTACTAGATATAGGGTTGGCTGGTATATAAAAGAGGGGAATGTAATGTCTGGGTAGATAGTGAGTAATTGAACTGCAGTCAGAGAGCACGAGAGACGTTACAGCGTTTGTTTAGCGCGATTGTTGAAGTTGAGTGTATCGGTAATGTTATATTCGGAAAGAATAAACCAGTTTTATTAAGCAAATACTTGTGTCGCTAAAGTTTCGTCGAAACGAAGTAACGGGAAGTTAATTAACAAACAGAGACATAACAAATTGGTGTCAGAAGTGGGATCCAAATATAGACATCAAAGCAGAACAGGAGAAAGACCAAGATTTGAAGCCAATGATTGATTTCCTAAAAGCAAATGTTTTGCACCCTGCTTGGGAGAAGG